AACCTCCCCAAATCCCCCCCAATCCCCTCACCCCGGAGTTACAGCCCACATCGAGCGCCAGCAGCGGGCGGGGCCGGTCGGGGAACAGCGCCTGGAGCAGCCCGGGGGGCACGAGGCTGACGCGGCTCTCGGGGGGGTGGAAACGGGAATAATTCGGGAAATTCCCGAAGGGAGCCGCTCCCGGATCGGGCCCGCGGGACCCTCGGCCGGGATCGGGCCCGGGAGCCTCCTCGGCCATGGGCGCCGCCATCTTGGCGCCTTCCCCATCCTCACCGGGGGGGAAACCGCGCCCGAGCACGAACGTTCCGGGCAACAAACGTTCCGGGGACGACAACGACAAAGCGACATCAGCGACATCAGCGACATCAGTGGAGGGGGTTTTTTTTGGGGGGGGGGAAGAAATATGAGATTTGGGGAGTTTGGGGTAAATAAAGGAGAAATCAATGCTGGCGGGGCCGGTGGTGTCACATTGAAAGGCGGCCCCCTCGGCCATGGGCGCCGCCATCTTGGTGCCCTCCCCTCACCGGGGGGCGGCAACGGCGCCCGGGCACGATCGTTCCGGGCAACAAACGTTCCGGGGGCGACAACGACAAAGCGACATCAGCGCCATCAGCGTCATCAGCGCCACCAGTGGAGCTTTTTTTAGGGGAAATAAAATGAGATTTGAGGGGTTTTGGGTAAAAAAAAAAGGAAAAATCAACCCGGACCGCGGCCACCCCAGTGATGTCACATCGAAAGCGTACCCCGCCGTTGCCATGGCGACCGATGGGGCCTGTGGGGAGGGAGGGGGGGAGTTTGGGGGCGTTTAAATAACATTTAAATGTTGGTTAAATGGGGTAAAAATCGTGTTTGAGAAGTAGAAAAAAACGTTTGGAAACGTTGCTGGAATGTCAGGCCCGGTTTAACCCCGCGCTGCGAGCAGAGGGCGCCGCGAGCTCAGGGATGAGGGAGAGCAGATCCCGGCCCCGGGATCCCAGGGAATCCGGGAATGCTGGCCCTGTTAGAGCCCAGTTCTGTTCCCAGTTCTGTTCCCACATCCATCCCAGTTCTGTCCCAGTTCTGTTCCCACATCCATCCCAGTTCTATTCCCGGTTCTGTTCCCAGATCGATCCCAGTTCTATCCCAGTTCTGATCCCAGTTCTATCCCAGTTCTATTCCTGGTTCTGTTCCCACATCGATCCCAGTTCTACCCCATTTCTATTCCCATTTCTATTCCCAGTTCTATCCCAGTTCTGTTTCCGGTTCTATCCTGGTTCTATTCCCGGTTCTATTCCCAGTCCTGTGCCAGTTCTGTTCCCAGTTCTATTCCCAGTTTTATCCCAGTGCTATTCCCAGTCCTGTCCCAGTTCTATCCCTGCTCTATCCCAGTTCTGTTCCCAGTTCTATCCCACTTCTATCCCAGTTCTATTCCCAGTTCTATCCCAGTTCTATTCCCAGTTCTATCCCAGTTCTATCCCAGTTCTATCCCAGTTCTATTCCCAGTTCTATCCCAGTTCTATCCCAGTCCTGTCCAAGTTCTATCCCTGCTCTATTCCCAGTCCTACTCCAGTTCCATCCCATTTCTATTCCCAGATCTATCCCAGTTCTATTCCCAGTTCTATCCCAGTTCTATCCCAGTTCTATCCCTGCTCTATCCCAGTTCTATCCCAGTTCTATCCCAGTTCTATTCCCAGTTCTATCCCAGTCCTATCCCAGTTCTATCCCAGTCCTATCCCAGTTCTATCCCAGTCCTATCCGGTTTCTACCCCAATTCTATCCCAGTATTTTGGTTTGGGTGGGGGTTTTTTTTTAGCCCGTAAGGGATTTTTAGGGCCACTTTTTTTTATTTTCAGGGCCATCCTGCTCTTTTAATGTTATTTTTCGGGGAGGACTTTTCCCCCCATTTAATTATTTTATTTTATTTTATTTTATTTTATTTTATTTTATTTTATTTTATTTTATTTTATTTTATTTTATTTTATTTTATTTTGTTTTGTTTTATTTATTTTATTTTATTTTATTTTATTTTATATTTTATTTTATTTTATTTTATTTTATTTTATTTTATTTTATTTTATTTTATTTTTGGATTTTATTTTATATATAGAGAGAGATTTTTTTTAGGGCCCTCCCGGTGTTTCCAGGTGGAATTTTTTGGGGCTGTGGGGAGGGTTTGGGGTAAAATCCCGGGCAGGGGAGGAGCAGGAGCAGGAACAGCAGGAATGCGCCCCCTGGGAGCGCTGACGCACGGCCCGGCATTCCCGGCGTTCCGAGAATTCCCGGAGAGATGGGAGATAACGGGACGTGGCCTCATCCAAAAACGGAATTTCAGGGTGGAAAATCCCCGGAGCCTCCCCCGATTGGCCCCAAATTTCCCTTCCCCCCCCCCCCAAAAAAAAAAAAAAGGGAATTTTAGGGTGAGGGTTTTCCACAGAAAATTCTGGATATTCGGATAAAAGTCCTTATCTCTGTCTAAAAATCGACATTTTTATAGAAAAATAAGTATCTGTCTTGATATCAAAGTCCATTTCTAGATATAAAATCTCTATCCCTCGATAAAATATCCCTCTATAAAATATCCATCCTGCCTATAAAAGTCTTTATTTCCACCTGAAATTCTGGATCTCCAGATAAAAACTCTCCATTTCCGTCTAAAAATCAAATTTTTTTAATATATATTAAAGTCAAGATATTAATTTATATCATTTATGTGTAATATAATATATGAAATATAATATATAAAATAAATATAAATATAAATATAAATATAAATATAAATATAAATATAAATATAAATATAAATATAAATATAAATATAAATATAAATATAAATATAAATATAAATATAAATATAAATATAAATATAAAATAAATCTAAATATAAAATAAATATAAATATAAAATAAATCTAAATATAAAATAAATATAAATATAAATATATAATATATGTATAAATATATATTTATATATATTTATATATATAAAATATATAAAATACTATAATTTATAATTTATATATTAAAGTCAAAATCTTCCTATAAAAGTCTTTCTATCTCTCTCTATAAAATCTTTATCTCACTATAAAATCTATATCTTCATATAAAAGTCTTTATCTCCTTATAAAACCCTTTATCTCCCTATAAATCTCTCTCTGCACAGACTCATACCCAGAAAACTCTCTTTTTCCATGG